CAACGGAAGATTTGGTTGTTGTTCTTGCTTACATCCAGGTCAGAGGATGAATGGTTGTGGTAACAAGCGTGTTTACCCATATACAGCCACTGAATTTCCCCAACGAAATCATGCTCAAACGTTAACACATGCCCAGCTGGCAGAAGAAGTAGAAGTACTTTTTGGTGTAAAAGGTCCTTCCGTAGTGCATTCTATTTTACAAATTCCGGAGATGTTGTTATTTGATTACATGCACCAAGTTCTTGAAGGCGAATTCACAAGGCGCATGACAAAGTGGTTAGCTGGATCATGTCCAAGTGGTGTTAATCTCAAGCCACATGTTCAGAGTTTGAGCAAACATCTTTGAAAAATTGGTTTACCTCATGATTTCAAGTGAAAATTCAGATCCGTGGACAAATTTAAGAGATGAAAAGCCAGCGAAAAGCAGAATTTCTTTCTCCATGCAAGTTTTTTGGTTTTAAAAGATCTTTTACCATCAGAAATGTTCTATCATCATTCACTTTTGGTCACTGGTGTGCGGTTATTGTGCGAAAACAACATCACTGAGCAAGAAATTGATATCGCTAAGGCAATGCTTTTAAACTACACCAGGTTGTTGCCTGAATTGTACGATTTGTCTGAAGCAACATTCAACTCACATGCGCAGAAAACATCTTTCGCAGCAAGATAGAGAACATGGTCCTTTAATCCTGTATTCTGCTTTCATTTTTGAATTGATGCTTGCACACCTGAAAAGACTTTTTCATGGTACGCGTGGTATTCCCGGGCAAATATGCAAGAAATATGCAGCATGCAGAATACCTTTTTAATGCCCTGACAGAAAACGATGATGCTAAAGAATTTGCTGAGCAACTCTTGAAATACAACCGCTTTCCTGATATGGTTGAACTTTCAAATGGTGTAAGTTTTTTTGGACCTCTTAAACCTTTAACAACCGCAATTGAAAATATCGAAGGTCTTTTGAACAAGGACAAAAATGCAACTGTTGCACAAAGAATGAGCAAACAAGGACAGGTTTACCACAGCACTAGCTATGTCTGCCATAAGAGTGCAGTCAGTTTTCTAATAAAGATCAATGAAAATGGGGAGGAATATTTTGGCCAAGTTGAATTTCTCGTTAAACAAGGCCAGATATGCTGTCATCTTTATCTTCCACAATTTTCAGCATAATATATGTAATGTTGATGAAGATTTTCCACAGCCTAATGATGCTGTAATGAAAGAGTTTCATTTGTCTAATTATCTCGGGTGCCATTTTATTGCTGTTGAGAGGACAAACCAGAAAAGATTAATCAACTGCTCTTCTATTATTTCCAAAGTTATCCTTGTTGAATCCAAGGAAAACGCAAATCTAGGATTTGTATCTTCAGTTTTAAAATGCTATCAACATGACTGAAGTATACCTGTATGTTTTGAATGTGATTTTCACATTCACTTTGATTGTATGTTAAATCTAAAAAATACACAAGTACTGCAGTAGTCATTTTTGTCTACTATTCAAGGCTTTCTGCAATTAGTCATAGCTAATTAAACCTTGTTGAGATAATTGTCAAGATCGTAGCTACTTAGATAATGTTAGTAAAGCTGACAGGAAAATGTTAGAGTAAATAGGATAGTATAGGTTTAAAATGTGCTCTTGTAGGAAAGTTTTGGAACCTTAAAAAATCTTAAAAGAACTATATAATTAATATTACTAAAGTATAATAGGAAAATATACAGGAAATAGGATATCTTATAAGAAATTATCAAGATCCTGAGTAAATCTTATAGGAAGTAGTCAAGAGCTTAAATAATGTTGTAGGAACGTTTCAGTCTTAGCAATTTATGAGCAATTTAACAATTTATGATCCTAATATATATAAGCTACTGTTAGAACCTTAAGTATAGTTTTAGGATCGTAGGTATAATCTTAGGATCCTAGGTATAGTATAGTTTTAGGATCCTGCATGCCGGCCATATCATATGGTAAGCTTTCACTGATTGATTCAACAATTTTATGTTTCAACTAGGCATCTCAGAAATATGTCCCCAAGACGAAGAGATCACTGAGATGAAAAGTAAAGGACAGAAAGAGAAAAAAAACACACCAGAAACGTATAAAACATAGACACCAGCAAAGGTATCAGAAAAAAACAAACTAAAAGTTATTGCGGTGCTGATACTGAGAAAAATGAATCAGATCATGAACCCATTGAAAAAAAAGATTAGATGACTCAGACTAGCCCTATTCAGAACAGCAGAACTGTATGTATGGTGATGAACTATTGGCTTATATGTCTAGCACAACCTAGCATGCATACATAAATAAACTAGAAATACATTGCATGCAGTGACCCCTCGCCGGACCTTAATGCAACAACATCATTTCCGAAAAAAAACGTAAAAATCATATTATATTTAACAAAATAAAGCATTTACAATAAAATATAACAATTTAAAATAGAACAAATTTAATATTTACAACATATAAAAGTTAGAATAACAAACTCTCGATATGAGACTACGTTGACATACAGTGATTTTTCATCGAGTAGTCAAATTAAGACAATATTAAGATTGAAAACAATATTGGCTCATTTTTCACTTGCTGATATCTCATTATTTGTTTGATTGAATCGCCTTTTAACGCCTTATATGTTGATTTTGCTTTTGTATAGAATGCGTGATGTTGAACGTTAAAAATCAATTATGGTATAGAGATTATATGTCAATGTAGCCTAGACTGCACATTTGAGAAATTTAAGCACTAAACTTCTCAAATGCGCAGTTGGTAAATTGCATTGAGGGCTTTTGCTGCCCTTGTTTTTGCATTTTCCGCCCAGTCTGCCGCTGGGGGCACACAACCCTTGTGTGGCCCAGTTGGCCACACAACCAACAAACAGCCCCTATAAGAAAAAGTCACTATAAGAAAAAAAAATCATTATGTATATTATTTTCATACATTGTGATGGCCGACATCTTTAGCAATGTTTAAATATTTGATTAGACCTTCTGAATTTCTTCTGTCACACCAGGCATGGTATTTTTAGCCCTAGAGTCAAGGTCATATGCTTACAACACCACACCACATTGCAATTGTTCATGTGACTATACAATACATGGGAATCCAAAAGGTATTGAATACATACGCGATTGGCAGCCATGAGCAAGATGGCCCCGCATGCCACACTTGTAGCAACGCCCTAAGATGGAATATCAAGTAATGATTGGTCTTCTGGCGAACTAAATCCGTGAATTAACTGACCATTGTCAATCAAACTTTATTAACCTGCAATATGTCTACGGAAACCTAAAAGAGAGGAGATGTCATTTTGAGCATCATTATTGCAATGTAACCATTATTGAGTATTATGTGTTTGCATAGGTAATAACTCTAATGAAATTATACAAATTAATACCTGGGAGCAAGCCTTTTCCCCAAAGAGCAGGGAGCGGATGATGTTCTGAGATGTACGTAACAAACTTGGTTGACACATCGCGTAAATTAGGATATTAAATTGATAACGAAAAGTTTTTAAAAATTGGAGGCTATCTGGAAGCAAATGGTTTACATTACATTTCAGTAAAATTAAATGATACAATAATACCTGGGGGCAAGCCTCTCACCTGTGGTGCGGGAGTGGATGATCTTCTGAAATGAAACATCAAAATACATAGATGTAATTTTCATGCATCTACCACAAGGACAACATTTTTACAAAAGGGGGGGGGTGTATGTAAATTTAAAGAAGGAAGGATTTACTGTTTTTAAGATTGGCACATAATTTACTGTGATAAAATGAGAGTATTTTAGTTGTGAAGGGGGAGCTACAGGATTGCTCACCTGGCCCATCCACTGCCATGGCAGGTTGCTCTGCTTCTCCTAGATCTATGGTAAAGGGAAATTTGTATACCTAATGTATTATACACTTTATTGTTGTGAGAAAAAATTAAAACCTTGCAACAAATGAATTAGATTAATACTTTGAATATTATTTATTTACCTTCATCATCCTCAATGTCATTCGCATTGACTTCAATTTCTAGAATGCAAGAGGCAAAATCTTTAATCAATATTTAGTACTTTGCCTAATTTATACTATGTGTATACATATGGCCAGAGTATTATAATGGGCAACACTAAATTGAATTATGTCTTTGAGAATGAATCAATTTTTCATATATATGGCATGTTTGTCATTTGCAGAAAGAAAAGGTTACCACAAATTATATATACTTATATATGGCCAAGTGCCTATCTGTAAACATACCAAGTACTTCTTCTTCATTTTCCATTAAAATAATTAGAAAAATCAGTAATAATAACAACGTTTACCATTACACTACAACCAAGAGAAAAGTGGTTTGTAAACTGCTAGAAAAGAGGTTGCATCTTACTTTTTTCTCTCCTTGTAGATAATCTTATATATGCCATCAACATACAAATATATTGAGTAAACATATTTTAATACAATTTCAAAAGCACTGTATGGTTAAAATACAATGTATACTCGAGGCAAGCTTAAAATTCCTACAATATAGCTACTGAAATGTTATTTTTGAGAAAAGAAATGTATTAAAATAGCAAACTTACATTTTTCAAATAATATTTATGACTTTTGTACCTGTAAAATATATAAAAAATACAATAGTTTCATTAGTTTATTGACAAAAGCTGAGCACAAAAGACAATACCCATCAGCATTGCAAAAACATGCAGATTTAAAAATGCAATAAAAAGGATATGATAGTTTCTTGCTAAAATATTTGGGCTTAAATTGGTAAATTAAAATGTCAACTGTGGAGTAGTATATTATAATTTATTCGAGCAAACTTTGAAATGTTTAAGAGGAGTTTTATTAGAAAATCGCGTATTGGGCGCTCAAAACTAAATTAAGATTTAATCGAATGAATCGGGTGGTAACATGGCGGCTGGTTCTTATATCGTGTGAGTACTTTACTGCGTGTTTTCACATAGTCAACTGTTGACTTTCGTTTAATTTTGTTAAATATTGTCAATATACTATTGGAATGATGTGTAAAATGATAAACAAGATGAATTCAACAGTAATTGAAGAGTCAAAAGCAACGCAATGTTACACAGAGGGGTTGGAAGGATTCGACTCTCACAGAAGCATGGAAGGTAAGCGTGCATTTTTGCGGATTTTTCATATTTTACTGCCATCGATAACAATAAATCATACCTTGCAACATTCCTTAGACATTCTAGTTTTAATTTAAGGCATCTTATATAAACTTAACTTGGTTATTTCGGAGTAAATCTTGCTTAAATTTAGAAGCGATTCAAATTTTAAATTTCACAAAATGCAGTCACTATAATCCGTATTTTGCTCTTATCTTTCAAGCTAAGTGTTCATATTATAATTCATAACGTCTAATGTTTAACTAAGATGTATTTTGTTACAACAATTGCCCTGGTCCCAAAATCTAGGCATGAAATTTATCTAAAAAGTTATTAATATTTTTGTGTAATTGAGTATAAAATGAATACATAAATCTGTTGTAAAACTGTTGTTCACCACTTGTAAATTACTATAGAACTGTTTCCGATCAACCTAAGGCATATTTCATGATTTGCCCTAGGTATGCTAGTTTACAAAAGCATCATTTAATTAAAATTGGAGTGGTACGCCGTGGAGCATTTTTCGACTTTTAAAATGAACCAGATTTGTGTATTCTCAACCTGTATTTTTGTACAGTCCAGCATTACTATCTGTTTATTGAATATATCGCGAAGCGCCATATTACAAGCTGTGCAAACATGGCTCTCGACCTATTTTACACTTCTGATGATTTTAGATGGTTTGAACATGTTTTGTTCCCAAAATCCACAGGTTTTCTATAAGCCATGATTTGGCCAATATGGAGGGAACCTTCACCTTAAGTTAAATGATTAAATATCAACTGAGAACCATTTCCGATCAACCTAAGGCGTATTTCATGATTTGCCCTAGGTATGCTAGTTTACAAAAACCATCATTTAATTAAAATTGGAGTGGTACGCCGTGGAGCATTTTCGACTTTTTAAAATGAACCAGATTTGTGATATTCTCTACCTGTATTTATTGTACAGTCCAGCATGTATCTTTACAATGTATCTTTCTCCAATTGCCCAATATTTGACAAATATTATTCACTTAAATATTATTACAAATGGTAAAATCCTAAAAATTACTGACTAAAGGCAAGGTGATTACTAGCCTATATTCAATGAGGAGACAAACAATTTGTTTCAACACGAAACAGATTTGCTGTATACACAACATGTATTTACTTGAATAGCCCAGTGTTGCTATCTGATTTTTGGATATAAAATGAAATGTATACTGTAAGCTGTGCAAACAATTGGCTTTCAGCCCATTTTATATTTCTATGGTGATTGTATAGGGTTTTTTTATCCTGGTTGAACACATGTTGCAGATCTGGAAGTTTGTGCAAATCAGGCCCTGGATGCTACATCCTACATGCCCTTAAGCCCTTTCTTGTTAACTCCAGACTTGTCTTGATAAATCTCTTATAGAGGAATTTGCCATTGCCACATATTTGACATATCTATTACTTTTTATTGCAGGCTTTGAAAAAACAGTGGAAACAACACAAGATTGCAAAAACACTATTTATTGCAATTAATGATATAATATTTTAACAACAAAGTCACATTACAATTTTATATTACCTATACTTACAGCTGTATAATTTTGGAATGAATTGTCCCATGATTGTCCCACCTACATGTCCCATATTATGTACCCACCACACAAGGAATTCATTGTTAATAAAGTAGAGAGGGCAGTTGTTTTTGAAATAAATCAAAATAGTTTGACTTTCCCTTTCTTTGTGTTGTTTCTTGAATAAATTATTTACGGTCTTTTTTATTATTGTTGTGATAAAGATAAACTGATCTTCAAGCTACTACACATAACTATCCACCATCTCCAACGCAAATGCGAGTTTACTGGCATGTCCGTATCTGAAACTATTGTTCATATTTTCCAAGATGTGTTGGATACCTAGAAATAAAAACGTTGACATTTGAGATTTTTATTTTATCACAAGATTAATTCTAAACCACTAAAATCAGTATATTTCAATATGTTTACACTGTCAATTACACATCAGTGTGTGACTGTGACTGTGTGTCACTCCTTCGCACTAATAAAAATGTACGCATGGAAAATTATATCATTCAAAATACCAAAACAATTGAACGAACACTCACCTGTTGTTCTTCTTTGTTTCAAGGAGCTTTTCGTCTTTTGAAATTCCCCAAAAGTTAATAAAACAGCTGTCACTCAACACGAAAACTTTACCAAACTTGTAAATTCAAAATGGCTGCAAAGCATATTTTAGCGAAGGCCTGGTTGCTAAGTTTTGAGCGATTTTGTGCAAAAATACGCGATTTTCTAAAAAATCTCCTCTTAATATTTTAAGTTTTTTATTTTGAAAAAGACTTACTGCAGTCCAAAAACAGCAGGATATCGGCAGGATGTTTTCCCGCTCTTTTTGAAATTTATGTTATACATGAATTTTGCGTGTACTATATTATTGTTTCCAGGAAATCGCGAAATATCCCGCGCGATATTTGGTGGACCCATATTCTCAAACCAAAATTGCTCAACAGTTCCAAAAGAGCCATTGCAAAGACCGACTTCTGCCCAAAGGTTACATGTCATCATCACTTCTGCTTTTGTTGACAAAAAGAGGACAGCTTCCAAACCACCTGCTTCATCAGATGTTGCCGCACTTGCACCCCGACCAGGATGCCTTGCTTGAATTTTGACCAATGGTTGTCCAGTCTCTTGCAACTTCTCATAATTTTATTCAGCAACTTTTTTTTATCAAAGTACAGCCGAATAACATCACTAAATTGATCCATTGCAACATTAGGTCTGGAGTGCTGTATTAATAGTCTCCAGTCCATCTTGGTAACTTGTCCATCTCTCATTCTCATCAATAGAATAGCACCTTGAATGCAACTACTTCTGAGTCTTCACCAATGTGTCGCATGACCTGCTCTAAAATGACTACGCGATCAAATGTTAAATACATACTGTGACCATGGTCACTGATTAGGGATCCATTACCTGCAATGTACATTGGTTTATCACCTACAGGAGGTAACTGGCCGAAATCCCCCATTAAGATAATCAACATGCCACCAAATGGGACATCCTCTTTTTATTATTATTATTAAAGAATATTTACACAGGATAAAAAACACTTCAGTAATAAATTACTGCTATCAACATGTGTCCTGTTTCAATTATAAAAACTATATCTTTAAAAACATGCGAACTAAGACCTAATTTACAACAATATAATACTAAGGATATAAACTAGGGAACACTATAGGTATATTAAAATAACTAATAATTCTAACATTCTAATATTCTTTTAAACAACATAAAGCTGTCAATTACTCTGACATTATGGGGTAGCTTGTTAAATTCAATTGCCCCTTTTTAATAAAAAGCACATTTTGTACATTATTGCGAGTCCGTTATTGCGGGTATTTTTCGCATGTTGTAGACGTTCAAAATAATCGTCAAAGTTACTGCATACGTTTTTGTCAATACACTGCTTTACTAGTAGACACATTTGAAGTTTTGCAGAATTCATCAAATCTGGTACCTTGAGATTTGCAGATTTGCTCAGATCAATTATTCTAGCAGCTCGATCTTCGAGACTTTGAACTTGTGCAACTTGGGTAGCATTTAGGTTGAAAGTCACAATGCTTGAATATGACAATAAGGGCATAATCATGCACTTATAGATAGATTCTGCAGCGTCTATTGTAACAAAACGTCGTATTTTCTTCAACAACCTCAATCTACCAGATGCTTTCTTAAAAGCCAAACAAAAATGTTCATTTAAGTTTGCTGTTTGATTCACTAAAACGCCCAGGTACTTATATTTGTTTGTAAAGTTGACCAGCTGATCTTTAAAATGGATATTCAAGGTCTTGTTCTGAATTTTCCTGTTGGTGCCCAATACCATGGACTCCATCTTACCTTTGTTCAGATTTATCACGAGATCATTTTCATTCAACCACCTAGCAACCACTTGCATTTCATTGGTAAATTGATCTTCAATTTTACCAATGTCACGTCCAGCTAGAAACAAGATGGTATCATCAGCATACTTTATAATATTTGCATTCTTGAGGTGATTGCCAATGTCATTAATGTAGAGTATAAATAGAAGAGATCCCAAGATGGAGCCTTGTGGAACCCCTGGTGTCAGATGTAATATCTCGGATACAGAACCATTGACGTTGACACATTGCAAATGATTAAACAAGTAGTTAGTAAACCATTCCATTTCAACTGATTGTACGCCAAAACCCTGCAACTTATTTAATAGATTGGAGTGAGCCACCGTGTCGAAGGCCTTGGAAAGATCAATGAAAACCACACCCGTTAATAGGCCTTTGTTTATATTTGCACGCACTTTATCCAGGAATAGAGTCACAGCCAGTTGCGTTGAATGTTTCTGCCGGAAGCCAAATTGAGAATCATTTATTAGATTATTTGACTTTAAGTAATCCATGAACTGCTGATGTACAATCTGTTCCAAAATTTTACTGACAGCTGGTAGTACAGAGATAGGTCGGTAATTGTCAAAATCATTGGTCGACCCTTTCTTATGGACAGGAATAACTTTTCCTATTTCCTTTCCACTCTTGGGGTATTTCACCAGTATTTAAGCTCATATTTATTATGTGAGCTAAAGGCTTTCTAATCACAGATGAGCAATCTTTAAGAATACCTGGTGGAATATTGTCAATACCAGCAGCCTTAGATCTTTTAAGCTGTTTTAGCTTCTCCTCCACAAGTTGTTCAGTGACCGGGTTAAAGTGAAAAGTTAAGTTATTCCGTACACAAGGTGAATTTTAATACCTCCATGCAAAGTTGACTAGTAGAAGGCATTTTTCCTTCAGTTTAAAAACAACTGAAGAGAAAAATGACCCAAATGCATTTGCTATACACTTGTTGTCCGTAATTACCTCTCCATTAATTTGAAATGAGCGACCAGAGGAATTTAGAGGTTGGCTTGGAAAAATATCTTTTGTGGATGAAAAGGCATGTGCAAGATATATGGCCAAGTATGCAGCAAAAGGAGAACCACGATTAAAATCTGCTTCTGATATACTGAAGTTGTCTGTGTCTTCATTACAGAATGATGACCAAGTGTCTTCTGCAATCAAGAAAGCAATGGTCAATAGCAAGTTGCTGGTGTTATTTCATGCAAATAACATCAATCAACGTTGAGGACTCACTGGTAATTCTTGTAGGATCTTAAGAAAATTACAGTTTATATCACCCATTAGGATTAACTCCTTATTCTCAGCACCTGCTGTGGATAGCATATCATCAAAATAGATGGAAAAGTCTTTTGGTAGAAATTTAGATCCGGCTGGGGGCCTATAAATAGTCCCAACTAACAAACTCTTGGCATTCTTGATTAAAACTTCTACCCATAAGCATTCTAATTCAGGATGTTCTAAGTCGTATCTTCTCAGTCACTGAACTCGATCTGATATAAAAGCCGCTACGCCCCCATAAGTTCTGTTAAGCCTATTTCTAAAAGCCAATTTAAAGCCTGGGATATCAGGCAACAGTGCGCTATTTTCTTTGCTCAAATGCGTTTCACTTAGGGTGAACATATGAATGTCTGTAAAGTTCGTTAAAATATGTTCAATGTGCGAGATCTTTGAAACCAAACCACTGATATTTTTGGTGCAATAACTTCATGCCTTTCGCTTTATTCACATTAGACAATCCGTGCAATATTGGAAGATAGAACAAACCTTGTCCAGTTTGAGTATTATTTTCAGCGGGGGCCATATTTACTGAACCATTGCAATGAAGGCAAACACCGTCTTTATCGCTCTCATCAAAACATCTGAGATGGAAATCCCTTAGGCAAACATTGCAGTTTATGGTGCTCTGATTTCTCCTGATAGATTTCTCACATGTAGAACATCTTACAGGGCCAGGGCACATTTCAATATCACCACACATCAGTATCAGTAGGAGGCTAAGCGCCTTTGCCCTACGCTCTCGATTTCGGGTACTAAACTTAAAATTTGCACTAGTATTCCACAATGATGAGTACATAAACGTAGTAGGTACAATTACATCAGAAACATTCATCATTATTCCAAGCGAGTCACTGCCTACAAATTGGGCTTTATTGACGGTAATAACTGCAATAGCGGCTAGAGCACACAGCAACATGTCTACACACGACGCCGACACATGCTGTACCTGCACGTAGTCTGTTGTCAAGCCATGAAAGCATCTTAAGTCCAATCATTGACATTTCATCAATAATGAGAAACCTCTTACCTTCCAATCTGAGCTGCAATCTCTGTAAGGAATCGCCCTGTAATTCTCTGTATTTCAGAATCAGAAGTTGAGCTCCGGAATGCAAAGTTTGACCACCAATACTGAATGCAGCAATTCCAGTGGTTGCTGTGACAATACATTGGTCTTGCAATACTTGCTTTAGGGCACTAATTAAATATGTCTTACCTGTGCCAGCAGTACCACTTACAATCATACGAAGTGGATTGCATTCATCATTAACCATGGATGCAGCGATAATGTCAAATACCAGCCGCTGTTGTCATTCCAGGTCCTTGGGTCAACCACCACTTGTTGGTCACCTGTTTGATATTGCAGAACTTGCTCCTCTGCATCCTTACTTTGTTTAGAAATCCATCCAGGAGATTCTCTCAACAAATCCCCCAGGCACAGCTCTTGCTGCTTCGAACCAATCCACTGCCTCGTTATTTGCCATCTGCTTTCCTGCATCCTC